CTTTCCTTCCCTTACTGTGGGAAGAGAATGAGAGCTGGGGACAGAAGAAAACTGTAACCGATGGGATCCAAACACAGTCCAATGCAAGAACCAACGAGCACAACAGTATGTTCCTCCACACCATAAGATCATTCTGAACCCTTTCCCACTAAGATCACTTAAACAATGATTAAGAAATCTGCAGTGAAAATTCAGCCTCGACAAAGATCTAAATCCCACTGAACAATCCTGACTACCAGTCACAATGAAGAGGAAGGGCAGCAAGCCCTACTCACTAGAATTCTCAGTAAAAGTGCTGAGTCAAGAATGGCAGAGCATCAGTTCCTAACAAATATTCATAGCTTAATTTGTCTGATTTTAAAGATAAAATGAGTAATAAACTACGCGTGTTTCCCTTCACTTCCGTGGTCTGAGTCCAAACCCAGATTCCTTTTCCATTCACTTACTCACAAGCACCCAACAGTGCTTTCCAGAGGTGGCGGCTGCTGCTGCATGAAAAGGTTTCCCCCATAATATATTTTCAGTTTAAATTTCTAACACATACAGAAATACAGTTTGCTGTGGTCCTTAACATTTATGGATCTAAAGGAGTCAAAATGAAAAGTAAGGACAACTGTCAGAGTGGATGTGCACAGAAACACATTTGACAAAGTTTATTACAGTTTATCACCAAAAATGGATTCTCTGTAGAATTAATGTGAGCATGTTTAAGAATATGCAAATAAGCAACATATGTACAAACACAGACTCCATCTTTATTGTTCACAGATCTCATTTCATCATCATTTGACTGTCTCTGCTGGAAGTAATAGCTTAGATGAGGACAAAAAAGGGACTTTTTAGATTTAAAAATAGTAACTCATGTTTTCTACATTATTTTCGTATATCAAAGATCTTAAAATTATAGATAAGTGGGGAGGCCAGGCTATGTTCCTTTAAAGCCTATGACTATAATTAACGGATTAAAAATTCAGTAACTTTCTACCTCCCTAGTGCTGGGATTAAAGGCATGCGCCATCAGCACCTGTAACTTTTATTCATTTCACAAACTTCAGCAAAATTTTAAACTTTTCACATTGAGGAAAACCGCATAGCAGAGCACAAAGTACTGGCCATAACGGACCTGCCTCATTCCATCTTTTTCAAGACTTATTTATTAGTGTGTCTTCGAGAGAACACAGCACCTAAATACCAAGTTAATAAGTGCCTTTAGTAACTTCACTTTCCTTCTTTACCGTCTATATCAAGGCAGACTTTTCTCCATCCTTTCCCATCTGTCCTTTGCCTTTTATCCCCAACTTCCTTCTCTTGCTGCTTTAAACTCACCTCTTCATATCTGTTCCCTGAATATGCTCAATTCTCTGCCTTTAAAGTTTACTTCATGTATCAGATCCCCCGAACTGGGCTCCAGTGGGTGTTGGGAATCCAATAGGAATCCTCTGGAAGAGCAGTTAGCACTCCTAACGGAGCCATCCCTCATACCCTAAAAACCTCTTCCTTTCATTTATTAGAGAGTAGGGGCTACAACATACTAACCCAAGTGCCCAAACTCATCTGATAGGGCCCACCTCTTACCAGACTAAAATCTTATGGTGTATGTAGCATGCATGCATAAACACACAGCCTGCCACATCTAGAATACTGTTAGCCTCTCCTTCCCATCACCCATAAATCAGTTGTTTCTTCTAATCACTCAAAACCGAACCACCAAAAATTACAACTGACTTATTTCCTTATCCGTTCAACCCTAAACTTCAAATTCCACTACTCCTAGAAGATTCCTTGGCCATAAATCTTTAATCTGTTGACCACTCCCTTGGTATTCTACAAAGTACATCAACTAAGCAGAGAGATCTATATTCAAATCCAGACTCTGCCATTAGCTTAGAAATGTGCCCTTGGGTGTATTATTTAACTTCTTTAAAAAAAGAAAATCAGCCCCTTCCAAGGCCAGCCTGCTTTACAAAGCAAGTTCCGTGACAGGCAAAGTTGATATGCAAAGAAACCCTGTCTGGGATGGATGGATGGATGGAAGAAAATCAGCTTCTCTATATGTAACTGGATGTCAGGACAGCCTGCCATTACAGAGAAACCTTTCTATATGTAACTGGATGTCTGTAGGAATATGTCTATTAAACTAGATAGACTACATCTATAAAATGCCTGACAAGCCAAGTATGCTATAGTAGGTATTTTCTTTCCCCTGCACCCTGGAAATTTTATCAGCACCCATATGAGAGTGACTCTGCCCATCATGACTACTTCTGAATCTAAAAAATACATGCCCAATTGCTTGCCAAAAATATCCACACTATTCCACACAGCAGCAACTTAACCTATTTCAGAACCAAATACATTTCCTTCTTCTCCACTGATCCACTTGAAGACTGATTTGTACTGATGGCACCATCACTATCTTAGCATATAGAATACAACAAAAGGTTTTTTGGTTGTTTGTTTTCAAGTCAGCATTTCTCTGTGTAGCTTTGGAACCTGTCCTAGAACTAGCTCTTGTAGTCCAGGCTGGCCTCAAACTCACATAGATCTGTCTCCCTAGTGCTGGGATAAAAGGTGTGCACCACCACCACCACCACCACCCAGCTGACAAAAGGTGTTTATACAACACCAGACACCAAGGTCCATGAATTCCTTCGGCCCACACTCTCCCGAGCTACACTACACCTGCCTCCCCCAGACCACACCACTACAAGCTAAACACATCTCGCTATTGTACTACTTAAAGTCTTCACTGTTTCCCCATAGCCTAAAAATGAAATTCAAATGGGAGACATGAAACACCACTCTCCAGACCAATCACCCTTACTCTCCAACAGCTCCAGAGTCAAGCCACTACTTACTTCTTAGTCTTACCACCCCTTCAAACTGTCTCCTACCTTCTCTAAAAACCCAAAACTGATAGTGTTCCTTTTAAGTTTTCACTGACACCTCATGGGCACCCCAGAACACACAGAACCCACTAGATTTGGGAGATCCAATGTTACAAGGATCTGATCAGCAATGTTTTCTGAATGGGGAGAAACAGTAGAAACTAAGTACTACAAATCCAGGCACAAGAACATAGGTTTTAAATTGCAATTTAACAGAAAGAGTTGGCAATGGAAACATAAGCCTAACAAATTTAACTCCAAGTTCACAAAGACCAGGAATAAAAGGAAAATGAACATGAGAAAATACTCACTATGCCATTTAAAAGGTAAAAAATATATTTCCCTTCTCAAAGAGTATTTGGTATTTCAAAGCAACTTCTGACTGCAGTGTCGGGCTGTATTTCCTTATACATTTAACTCTGAGACTCAAATTCTATTATCCTTGCAAGGTTGGTGGCCTTGAGTTGACCACCCCCTTGGTATTCTACAAAGCCTAAGTGGAGAAGTTAATAATGGCTACATTAACAAAGTACTTGACATCACCTTCCACAATACCTTAAATCAGGATTGAGTGTTTCTGGCCTTTAAAAGTACATTAAAAACCTCCTTGTTCATTAAACACACCCAAGTTAGTTTTCATCTTGAGAGGTGTGTCTGACATCTAAACGGCTGTGGCATTGGTGTAAGCTCCCATCTATTCAAGAACTGTTTGCCACTGCCAGGCACCTGCTCTGTCGGGGGTGGGGGTGGGGCCCGCTAGGGAAAAGAACTGAAATGTGCCCTCCAAGAGGCAACCACCCCAGGCAATTCTACAAAGTAAGCGTTGAACGCTGGGATATCTGGAGTGGGAACCTAAGAGCAGAAAATACCATTTTGCTGTTTTGAAGTCGGTCCCTAATGAACCCTTTGACTCCACTTTCTGCTGAAGTCTGTGAAGACATGTACCCATCAGCTCAAGTATTGAGAGGGTGGGCAATCTGTACAGCAACCAACATTCTCAACTGCAGAGAGGGTCCCCAGCATAGCACTACAAATCGACAGGGGGCCAACACCCTAACCCTATCGCAAAGTTGAACCACAAAAAAAAAGTCTTATTCGTGGGATGGAGCAAGTTCTGACACCACATCAACACATGTCAAACTACGACATCAGATTTCTTCAGTGCTGGTTTATCTTTAGTATTTGAAACGGGAAACATAATCCAACTCAATCCACAATAGTTTCCAGTCTGTAACTGCGTTTTAAAGCATCAATGGTCGTCTCCTCCTCCTCCTCCCAAATCCATTGAGATAAATAAGATGGTATTGGACTTTATGCTCCAAAAGCAGCACCTGGAACGATCAGAGATACAACTAGAGAGCTTTAAGGCGGCAGGCAGCTTTGTTCCCGGTTTGGGGAGGTTTTCACGTGTCAATAAATGTTCCTCAAGAAGCGGGGGGCTGAGGACTGAGTACCGCGGGGGTTAGAGTGTGAGGGTGAGCGAGTGGACTAACGCGGGGCAAACACTCTGCTCGCTCTCCCACTCAACGTTCAAGGTGTCACGTTGTCGTGAAGGGGGACGTTCCGGGCTCTAAGGGCCAAAGGAACAACCTGCCTGTGTTTACTCGTGAGCGTGTCAACGCGGGAGGCGGGAGGCGGGTCGGCACCCTCTAACTCTCGGCCGGCCGGGATCAGAGTCCAGCCAGCGGCCGACGCGCCGGGGCCTGAGCAGCAGGAGAGCCCGGGCGGCGGCCGAGCCGGGGCCCCGAGCCGCGGGAACTCCCGCCCTGAGTCCGCCCGGCCCGCCCGCCCGCGCCCCGCTGCAGCCCCGGGCGGGATCTCGGCCCCGCCAAACCGATAACCGTGCCGGGAGCACAAGGGGCCACGTTGGAGGGGCCGGGGCCGGAGGCGGCGCCGGCCGGAAGGGGGCGAAGGGGGCACGGCGGGGGAGGGGCGCGGGGTCAGCCCCCCGGCCGTGGCCGCGACCTATCCTCGCCTTCGGGCCCGCCGCCCCGGAACCCGGAGCAGGAAGCGTCCCCGCCCCGCCTCGGTGTGCTCGCAAAGCCCTCGGGGCGGCGGGAGAAGCGGCCCGGCGGGCCCGCAGCAGCCCTGCCCCGGGCGGGCACCCCTCACCTCCTGGTTGAAGGCGTTGACGGCGTCCATGTTCGCGTTGCGGCGGCGGCGGCTGCTCCGGGCCCGCCGGTCCGGTCACATAGACCTCGCGCCGCAGCGGAGCGGGGCCGGGAGCCGGCAGGGCCTGCCTGGGGCGAGGAGGAGGCCGGGAGGCGACGAGCGGCGGAGGCCCGGGCCGAGGCCGAGCAGGAAGGGGCCGCGGCCGAGGCCGAGGCGGCGAGGCTGGGCCGGCCGAGCGCAGTCAGAGGCGGCGGGCCCCGGCTCAGTCCCGTGCGCCGGCGGAGGGGACGCAGGCGGCGGCGGCGCGGGGCTCCAACATGTCCGTTTGGCGGCGGCGGCTGCGCTCTGCGTCGCGCTGACACGGCCCCCCGCGCCCTCACGCACTGGCCCACACCGGCCCGGGCTAGCGGGCGGGCCTCTCTCTCTCTCTCTCCCCTCTCTCTCTCTCGCCAGCAGGATGGCGGCAGCGCCCGGAGTGCACGCCGCGCGGGGCACCCTGGGACAGCTCGGGCCTCCGAGCGCTTCCTGCGCACGGCCCCGCCCCGCCCCGCTCGCGCTTGGCCCCGCCCACGCCGGGCGAACCGTGCGCGTGACGGCGCCGCGCGCGCTTTCCCGCCGCTGCCGCCGCCGCCCGCAGAGTCCTGGGGCCCCTGGGGCTCGAGAGGCCCTAACCCTGCGGCGAGGGCTCCCCGGGTGCGAGTGTGGCGCCCAGGCAGGACTGTGCCCCGCGGGCCCCGGCAGACAAAGCGCGGGACGGCGAGCGCGTGCAGTCTGCTAAGCTCCCTGCTGCGAGCTCGCCCGTGCGGACCTGCGCCCGCCGCACTGCGTGCCTGCCCCGCTAGGACACCCGCGCAGACCTGGAGGGATCCCGGGGCCGAGGAGCTCCCCGCCTCCACCCCCACCCGACGCCTGGGCTTCCCCGAACCCCTGACGCTAATTTCCCCAAACGCGGGCGTTTCGATCTCAGTGGAAGCGCTGCTACCGTTGTTGGTCGGGCGTGTGGAAAAAAAGGGGAAAAAAAAAATGAAAGTTTTTCTGCTGCGGAAACCTCACTTTAGTGGACAGGGCAGGCACGTGAGCGCGTGATTATAAAAGCAAGAGGACCGGACTAGAAGTTCAGGAGGATTTCCCGGGGAAAATGACGAGCAAGATAAAAGGAGAATTAGAGAAAGGAGGGACCCTCGGGGCCCCAAGCATTGTGCCATCGCCGCTCCCTGGAGGACAACCTGCTGGAACTTAGGGAAAGCAACCCGCGCTACCCAGACCCGGTCCGAAGAGTTAGGGTTTTGTTCCGAAGAGGGTCCTTTAAGCAGAGATTCTTAGCGTGCAAAGTATGAGCTCAGAAGGGAGTAAAAGTGGGGCCAAGGACAGCATGGCTTCAGACCCTGGGCTGATGGTATCAGGCCACCATCAGGCCTTGAAGGACATACTCAGGAAGTGTGGCAGGGACAGGAGGGAGCGGTGGGTTTGAGTCAACTTGGTAATTACAGAAGGGAATGACTTTGAGGGAGTAATGGTTAACACTTGCAGGTCACTTTCCCTGTGCCCCGGTCTTAGTTTGTTATTTAATCTTATTTAATCTCCGCGCCAAGGTTCTGTGTCAGTTCCTATCTAGCCGGGCACTCATCTTACACCTCAGAGAGCGAGTGAGGCCTAGGTCAGTTAACTACCATGCTCAAGGTCACACGGATGGACGATCTTCCTTTTGGGTGCTCGCGCCACTTGAGCTGTCCTGGGATAGTAAGTGAAGGTTTCTGGGATGTAGTTGGAGTCAAGAAAAATAACTGAGAGAGGTAGAGTCATCTGGAAAGCAGCTGAAACAGGGCAGACAGAATTTAAGAACAAGAGGTTGGGAGAAAAAGGAATAGCCCTTGGAGAGTGGCAAGCCCTGTCTAGGGAGAAGGTTCTAGTCCACCAAGGCAAGGATTGGAAAACTCCTCAGTAGGGTAGTTGTGGTTAACAGAATGGCCATTAGAGAGGATTCTGACTCTGGAGACAGGCAGATGAATCTCTGTGAGTTCAAGGCCAGCCTGGTCTACAAAGTAAGTTCCAGGACAGCCAAGGTTACACAAAGAAACCCTGTCTCATCCCCCCCACACACACACACCTCCCAAGAAAAATCTAAATAAATAAAGTCTGCTTTAATGGCTGTGCCATTTACCCCTTGTGTAAGAACCTTCTCTCCCACACTGCCTTCCCAGTAAACACGTCTAATTATTACATATCAGTTAAAAATTAAGTCACTGGAAAGTGCTGCGGATGTTGGTTTAGTACCCAGAAATTTGCCTTACACTTTGGCTCGGGTGCTGAGGGCAAAAGCCCAAGTAATACACATCACAGAAGGGGAGGGCAGGCGAAGAAAGATGGGTTGCAGGCAAGTTCTGAGGGTGTCGGGACACTAGGGCAAGGGAAACCTTTGAAGGCGAGAGAAATGAGCTCACTCACTCGTTTGCTAAAGCAAAAACTAGATAGGTCCTGTATTAACAGTCCTTTTCGGTTCTTTAAAAATTTCTTTATTAATCTGTGTGTGTGAGGACAGCACACTCACACCGTGGCATTCATGTGGCAATTAGAGGACAATGGACAAAGTCAGCTCTCTCCTTCCTTAGGGATTGAACAAGATGGCATTAAAGCAGTATCTTTTTTGAGACAGGGTTTCTCTGTAGCTTTGGAGTCTGTCCTGAAACTCAATCTGTAGACCAGGCTGGCCTCAAACCCACAGAGATCTTCCAGCCTCTGCCTCCCGAGCACTGGGATTAAAGGTGTGTGTCCCCTGCCGCTCCGCCCTCCCCCTCAACCTCCAGCAAAGCAGTATCATCTTTCCAGCCTTTTCTGGGACAGGATCTCATGCGGTCCAGGCTGGCCTCTAACTTGATATGTAGTTATCTGATCCTCCTGTCTGACCTCCCACATGCAACATGCAACATCATATGTGGCTTTAGTTCATTTCTTGTGGCTGTGACCAAATATTTGACAAGAAATAGCACAGTTTGGTTTGATATTTCAAGACATGGTTTCTCTGTGTACACCTGTCTTGGAACTCACTCTGTTGACCAGGCTGGCTTCAAACTCACAGCCATCCACCTTCCTCTGCCTCCCAAGTGCTCGGATTAAAGATTGGAGATACTGCCACCACCACACCGCCACCTGGCTGAAAGGAAGCAATTTAAAAGCGGAAGAAGGACTTGTTTTGGCCTGAGGCTTAAAGGTGGATCGGGTAGGGAAATGCACACCATGTGACTCCTGGTGGCGGCTAGTGAGTGCTGCCACCGTGATTCCTCCATCTTTATGGAGCAGGATGGAGAGAAACGGTAGGAAGTAGGGTGGGGCTCTCTCAGTAATCCACTTCCTCCAGCAGGGAACCACCTCTTAGATTTTCAAGGGCCTTCTAGAAACATTGCCGCCAGCCAAGGACACATGGGAGACATTTGTTCCGTATGGTCTGGAGAATGAGATACTGTAGCCACATGCACTTTTGATTTTGGATGAGTGAATTTATTAAGTATATAACAGCCATAGGGGAGGAACACATATAAACAAGCCAACCAAAAAGAGCAGCTAGACAGACAGAATTGCGTCACCTACCTAAAACACCCAGCAGAAACTGACTGGGGAGGCTGAACTGGCCGGCTGGTAGTTGTCCACTAAGCTCTCTGACTGAGCTTTCGAAGCTGAACTTCTGGCTTCTCTTTCCCACTGCAGGCCTCTTTATATCTTTTTAGGTCTTTCATTGGGATAAGGAGTAGTAACCCTGCTAGAAATGGTTTACTTTCTAGGTGTTCTCAAGGTCACAGCATTATGACTCCTGGGTTGTTTTGCCCTCCCTATTACAGAGTTAAGGACCCAGGCCATGCCCAGATGAGGTGGAAGGACACTTTGAGACAAGTATGTTTTGTCTGAAAGAGCCAGTTTCCAGAGTGAGCTCAAGGAGAACATGGCAGTCAACCAATATACTGTACACAACATCATTTTATACCCAAATCACTTCATGTTGTCAAGTTTAGCCGTTGTTGTCTACTGTCACTTCATGTTACCCCCTTCGCACTCACTTGAACATCCTTCATATTCTCTAAATCCATTTGCTTTGACGAGAGTTATCATCCACAGGACAACTAACATTGCGTTGGAAAATTCAGAAGTTAGTGCATCTTTAGACTTCTGCCCTTGCCTTTCTAGCCGGTCATCTGCCAAATACTAGCCAAGATCCCCACAGTAAAATCCAAATTTACCAGTCCCTGAACGCATCTGGGTCCTGACAGAACTGGGCCTTTACTGTCATCTAAACTCCGCCTTGGGCAGGCCCGTTAGGCATAGCTGATGATGGCCACAAGTCACTTCCAGTCTCCCACAGATATTCCCAAAACCCAGGGCAGTACTTGTCAGCTTGCATTGCCGTTATCTGCCCAAGAACCTGAATCAGTGCAACATTGCCTAGCCCCTCCTCCTCTCTACCTGCGGACTGGTTACTTTCCTCTTAGTGTGACTTAACACAGAACAGACTCAGCTTGAGAGGAGACAGGCTCGTTTTGGCTCACAGTTTAGAAGGCATGGTCCAACATGGCAGGGAAACCGTGGTGGTTGGAAATGGGTTGGTCCATGGCAGGGGGAGCCAGGAAGCAGAAAGCTTGGGCAGGAGCTACGGCACTACTGCTGTCTGCAACCCCACCCCCAGGGCTAGGACCTACCTCCTAAATGTTTTACAACCAGCTGGCACCAAGCGTTCAGATGCGAGCCTTTGGGGAACTTGACTGTAGCCATAATTACTCCTGTCTGTGGACCTCAGCAAGTGCTCACAAAGAGAGATTTTTTTTTCCCTCTTCAACCAACTGGCTTTTTTAAAAATCTTGGATGTCAGGGAAATTTGTCTGGGTAAGGAATTATTAAAAGTTGAGCTGGAACCAGAGAGGCCTAAGGGGAAGATGACAAGCTCAGCTTCGCACTGGTATCTTGAGGATCAGATGCAGTATGAATGGTTAATGAATGTAATGTTTATTGAGTGAGAGCATAGCATTCCACATGGGGGTATTTTCTGTGTCCCATCCTATTGAGATGTCCATGTGTAAGGAGCAAGATTTTGTTTTACAGCTCCCTGTGCTTGCGGTGGATAACTTAGATAGGGCTTACTTACTGGAAAGCTTTGCTTGGTTTTGA